AAGCGGATCTGGTTACAACTGTGTTAACAAACACAAGTTAAGGCTCTCGACTGAGTACAGATAAGGCTTACAGCAGCCACGTTGTCTGTCTTAACCAGTGCATCTCATATATATAATTTATGAACGTTAAATTATAAGAACAGAAAAATTAGGAGCACTTGTTACCTTGAGGCCTTGAATTTTAAACATGTTATATAATCCTAGAGCTCAGAAAGGCAGAGACACCCACACATTTCCTCTCAATGTATTTACACTAATTTAGTCATCAGCAGGAGTCGCATAATGCATCTCCCTTTCATATATACAAATGGACAATTTCAAATTTCATGAAAAATAAAAATCTTTATGCAATAATATGTACTCCAAACAGCTGAAGTATTTCTTGGCAAGTAAAAATTAACCACAGAACATTTCTGTGAATAGTAATTTCAATACTTTTTGTCTTACTCTTGTATCTGCTGGTCTCGGTGATGAAGGTCATCCATATAGCTCTTTTCTCTCCTCTCCTGTTCCAGAGTCATCCTGTCCAGTTGGGCTTGCAATTCTAAGATCTCTTGGAGCTCCCTGGTATGAGCCTCTCTCATGAGACCCAAAGCATCCTCTTTCTCCCGAGACCTTCGTTCCTACTCTGAATGTCTGCATATATCAAATTTCAAAACATCCAGAGCAAGACATGCTGGCCTACCCAGAATAATCTGAGCTATGCATATTAATCTACCAAAGAAAGGTTTATGACTTCCTGTTTTTTTGAGTGGTCATTAGGATCTAAAAATATTGTTGTCATTTGTGTTTACTGTATCTTTATGTGTAATAACTGGATTTGACAAGGGTATACTTTATGACAAGGTATCTCAAACTCTAGCTGTAGTACTTGCTGTTGTAGGCTTGCTCTTTTTTATAATTGCTCTCCATTTGTTTTAGTTTGTCTTCAAACTCTTTTATCCTGTAAAACAGTAATCATGATTGATCTTCTTATATTCAAAATTCAAAAAGAAAAGCTTTTCAGCACACACGTCAGTTTACCTGGAGTCTTTCATTGCAGTGGTGTTCTTTAAGTCACAGTCTCTGCGTTGGATCTCTTTTTGAGCCTGCTGGTAAAGTTCTTCAGAGGCCTGCAGGGCCCCGGTGGCCTGACTGTGAGCTTTGGCGTGGACTTCCAGCTCTTTGCTCAATAGCTTTTCCTGGACAATTTAATATTATTATTACTAAACTCACAATTATCCATGCAGAAGATCACTCATACCAGAGCTATACTATGGCCAAAAGTGACGTATGGTGACCCATACTTGGAATTAGTGCTCTGCATTTAACCCATCTAAAGTGCACACACACACAGCAGTGAACACACACACACCCAGAGCAGTGGGCCATTTATGCTGCGGTGCCCGGGGAGCAGTTGGGGGTTCAGTGTCTTGCTCAAGGGTACCTCAGTCGTGGAGAGAGAGAGAGCGCTGTACATTCCCACCTACAATCCCTGCCGGTACGAGACTCGAACCCACAACCTTTGGGTTGGTAGTCCGGCTCTCTAACCATTAGGCCACGACTTCCCCAAGTATGTGCATACCTGAACACCACATCTATATGTGCTCCCTAACAGCTTCTACTATTCTGGAAAGGCTTTCCAAACTAGGTTGTAACCTGGCTGTGGGAATGTGCCCCCTTACAGATGTATGAGTTCATGCACTGGCATTTAGGTAATGGGGCCTAGGTCCTGGTCAGCATTCCAATTCATCATTCACGTGGATGTTTGGACATTTCAATTTATCAACAAACAGTACTTTTGGCCAGTTAGTGTCTAAAGCCGTGGTTCATAACCAGGCAACGGTTGTACGCAGACCTTAGATTCAAGGTTGACAACCACTGGTCTAAATGGCCCTGACTTCCAACATAAAGTTTATGATAGGTTTGATGTGATATGGGTCTTACGTTGAGCTCGTGTGAGAGAACTACACTGTTCATTTCATCCAGCTTCAGATGGAATTCATGCTCCCGCTTCCTCATCTCACTGTCAAAATCTGCCTTCATTTCCTGTTGTGGATTGCAATTTACAAGATTCACTGTATTTAATTGATATTGTTTAACCTAATAATGCAGGCAAAAAGAGATTTCTGATATTGCACTTCTATGTCCTCCTTCACCCTTCGCTGATTCTCCAGGTCATCCTGAAGTTTTGCTATCTCAATCCTCAGCTCACTGACCTCTTCCCGCCTGGCACTCTCTTCCGTCTGAGCGCGGGCTGCCAAGGCATCATAACGCTCCAGCTCTGTGTCCCTCTCCTCCAACACACGTAGATTATACTTGAAGTCATCCCGCAAGCGGAGGAAACGCTCTCTCTGGGTGGACAGCTCTGATGTGGCTTCGTTTAGAGCGGTCTCCAGTTGTCAAATCCGCAAAGCCTGAAGTTTGTTCCATTCTCTTTCTTTTCAAGCCAGCTGGGCCTCCAGGTCCACAGCTTCCTGCATGGTTACGAAGCAGATGTTGAACAACAGGGCACTGAAACACTCGACATCCTGTTAAGCAAATCTGTAGACACAAGAAGTGATTACAAAGTGCTCATCAGAACAAGTTTATAAGTAAACATGATAAATGAAACCCTACACATCATATAAAGCCATAAATTGGTTAGAAAGGCATTTGATAATGGCATGTATTTTAAGTTGTATCCTTCGTGATCAGCTAAAAGTTCAGCTAACGTTACAAGAAGAACACAAGTCCTTATGGCCAAAATACTGAACTGTCATAGTGGCTGGGTGTGATGTCCAGTACGTATTCAGACCAGATCGTGGATCAGCACCTAGAAAGGACCTCTACATCCCTGAAAGACAGCAGAGACCAGGACAACTAGATGAGCCCCAGATACAGATCCCCTGTAAAGACCTTGTCTCACACGACCACCGGGACAAGACCACAGGAACCAGATGAGTCCTCTGCACAATGTGACTTTGCTGCAGCCTGAAATTGAACTGCTGGTTTTGTCTGGTCAGAGGAGAACTGGCCCCCCAACTGAGCCTGGTTTCTCCCAAGGTTTTTTCTCCATTCTGTCACCGATGGAGTTTTGGTTCCTTGCCGCTGTCGCCTCTGGCTTGCTTAGTTGGGGACACTTCATTTCCAGCGATATCGTTGACTTGATTGCAAATGATTGCAAAGATACTATTTAAACTGAACTGAGCTGGATGATGACATCACTGAATCCAATGATGAACTGCCTTTAACTGAAAAATGAGTGTTTACTATTGTCATTTTGCATTGTTGACACACTATTTTCCTAATTAATGCTGTTCAGTTGCTTTGACACAATCTGTATTGTTAAAAGCGCTATATAAATAAAGGTGACTTGACTTGACTTGACTGGGCAAAGTTTTTAGCGATAGTTCATATTAAAACAGAAGTATAACTTAATAAAAACAAGCTATTTTAAACAATTTCAACAGAATTAGAACTATTTCATTCAATAAAATTGTTACTCACCTTCAGGTGTATATCAGCCCAAGAATTAATGAAGAGGCAAGTATTTACTTCGGTTAGCTTGCACAGCGAATATTGTTTTATTTTATGTTCCTGTCATAAGTACAGATGACCGGAACTGTGTAAAAGTCCAAATACACAGCAGCTGCTCTCCAAGGGAGTTGCGGAATATGTCTAAAATAGTTGGTATTTAACGTTTAGGTTAGCTAAGCTACCTAGCTCAGGCATAGCAGGAGCTCTAGCTCTGCGCCGCCACAACTATCCATATTGCTATGGTAACAAAGGGCGTCTGCAGCAGCAACATCCGTTTCTATGCTTTGCCTGACGAATGAGTTCCCGGTTTTTATTTACGTTACAACTGAGCGTCATTTGCTTACTTTGAAAGGCGGAAATTGTGAGTTCACTTCTGATTAAGCTCTATTTCTGGCATGACTATTATTTCCCGCTATAAAAGCATCACGCTTATCGTAAAGTTATAAAACGTTTCCGAGACCTTTGTTTGAAAAGAAATAGGAAATAAATATGGATTCATAAAGAAGAAATAGTATTGTATTTTTGAATTGTATATTTGGTTAATTTACGTAACGTTATACTAAATGTTTCTGACAAAGTACTACAAAGGACGTTTTGCCCTACAGACTCTGGCACTATGGCAAGCCGTTTTAACATTTAATCTATAAGCCGTACTAGTATCTATGTTCATGGTACTTGTACCTATTTTTTAGATACTAGTATCTTTTCCATTAAGTACTAGTACTTATTCATTAGGTACTAGTGTTTAATCTTTAGCTACTAGTGCTTATTCATTAGGTACTAGTGTTTAATCTTTAGCTACTAGTGTTTATTCTTTAGCTACTAGTGCTTATTCTTTAGGTACTAGTGTCTTTTGTAAAGTTACTAGTACTTATTCATTAGATACTAGTACTTAATCATTAGATACTAGTACTTAATCATTAGATACTAGTACTTAATCATTAGATACTAGTACTTAATCATTAGATACTAGTACTTAATCATTAGATACTAGTACTTAATCATTAGATACTAGTACTTAATCATTAGATACTAGTACTTAATCATTAGATACTAGTACTTAATCATTAGATACTAGTACTTAATCATTAGATACTAGTACTTAATCATTAGATACTAGTACTTAATCATTAGATACTAGTACTTAATCATTAGATACTAGTACTTAATCATTAGATACTAGTACTTAATCATTAGATACTAGTACTTAATCATTAGATACTAGTACTTAATCATTAGATACTAGTACTTAATCATTAGATACTAGTACTTAATCATTAGATACTAGTACTTAATCATTAGATACTAGTACTTAATCATTAGATACTAGTACTTAATCATTAGATACTAGTACTTAATCATTAGATACTAGTACTTAATCATTAGATACTAGTACTTAATCATTAGATACTAGTACTTAATCATTAGATACTAGTACTTAATCATCAGATACTAGTACTTATTCCAATAGTGACTAGTATTTTTGGCTTTCCATACTGGCACGTCTGTCAGGCGTACATTGTGTACCTCCCTGCCAGAAGTATAAGACAAGTTGAAACCAGTGAAAACCTGTGATACAACATTTCCTGGCTTACAAAACTGTACAAAAGCGACTGACGCAAAGGGAAATACGACACCTGATTCGCGAGGTTTCTACCTGCCTGCTGTCACGTTCTAACTTGTATCTGTACTTAGTGTATAAATTATTCATTTTCTGTCATTTATTAATAAGAATGCAGCATGTAAATCGTTTCTTAGTCGTATTAAGATGGATGCTACAACTTCCCGATGAAACCAAATGTTCCTCTTTTCAGTTTTTGTAATATCTGCCTGTATGTTTTACACTCATTCACTACTCTGAGCTCTCTACTAAAGCAACAGCGGTCTATATACATAACCACAAACAATGTATCTAAAGACGTGTTTTGAGTTGTTGGTAAATTACGGAATTGCAAGCAAGTGTCATCACCCTGTTTCGCAACTCTTCAATTTGACCTGAGTCACTATGATGTGTGCCACAACCACAATATGTGGCAGTGGGGGGAAATGCGAATTATTATTATTATTTTTTTTGTTCAGCACCCAGCTAAGCTAATGAGAAACACAACTGATGCTTCATATATGGAGGGAAGGTCCGTAAATCCCCTTTATAAATCCCCTGAACACATGGTTTGGAATTTGAAGAGAAGAGAGCGGTGGGGAAACGCACGTAGTGCCCTCACACACACAGCCGCATCATTGGCTGCACGTCAGTGTGGCTCAAGTGTTTCATTGGTGACCGAACAGGCTTCAGTCAGATGAGATCAGCACCACAGTCAGCTGAGCGGATCTCATTCAAAGCCTCTTCAAAAGATGTGCCGTGCGAACGTGATGGTCCTGGTCCTAGGAGGGCATCATCAGTGAAAAACTTTAAACACAGAGCATCGTTAAGGTATGTATATAGGACTGATGCCTTTAAATATGTCAACATGTGTTCTAAGATAATGATTGGGTGATTTTGCGCATGCTAAGCGTGCGTGCGTCGTCGGGGTGGGGGATGCTGAATGCCGGTGGGCTGCTATGGAGATTGACTGATGGAAAGTAACAGGTTTTGGTTCAGAAACACAAAGAATATTCTTTTGTCTATTCATCGTTGAAAATATACACCGTGTTACAGAATAGAAGCATTTCTAATTAAGTGTACGTGTCGGGAATAATCCACATACCGATACAATTGTCTTATTTGATACTAGTCTGATTATGATATAGTGTAATCATCGAGTAGTTGTGGCTATTATAGTGCTACAATTGTTCAAGTGAGAACATTTATATTTAGGGATGGTATATATGTGGATATATACCTATGTGGCAGTGCCAGCGCTGTTGGTGGAGGAGCGAGAGTGTAAAAGTCACGTTTAGCACGTAGACCAGACAGCGCCGTGCATCAGATGCTCTTGATGTAAATATTAAGACACAGAATTACATAATAATTAATGTAATTATGAAGTGTACGGATCTTACAGTGACTTACAGGGGAGTCGATTTTATAAAGGTATTTCGACAGGAAATGTTGTCTTTTGAACAGTTAACCTATATGACGTAGGCTATTTACATCTATAATGTTAACTTGTCAGCGTACCATCCTGAAATGAACCAAAATGTTCAATTAGCCTACTGTGGTTACCACCTCAAGTATATATATATGTGTGTGTGTATATATATATATATATATATATATATATATATATATATATATATATATATATATATATATATATATATATATATATATATATATATATATATATATATATATATATATATATATATATATATATATATATATATATATATATATATATATATATATATATATATATATATATATATATATATATATATATATATATATATATATATATATATATATATATATATATATATATATATATATATATATATATGTGTGTGTGTGTATATATATATATATATATATATATATATATAATCAGGTGTGTTATGTTAAGAACCAATGACCTGAGTATTGTAGGGGGAGGAGGTATATATAATGAAGGTATGTGTAATGTGTATATAATCTTCCTTAATTCCCTTCTCAGACTTAACCTTATCACTATATCCAATACCATTCATAACTATAATCATATAATCAAAACAGTGATAAACTAGGAGTGGTATCACATGCAGATTTATATATAGGATATACATTGAGTAGATGTTTGAAAATTCAAAATAAATAAATAAATCCATAATCTTCTTGTCGTTGCATTGCGACTGACAGATTAGAATCAGCCATTTCGCTAATTAGTATGGACATGACAAGAAGCATCCATAATTAACAACCAGCCAGTGCCAGCTGTGACCTGTTTCAGAGAAACAATTCAATGGCCTTTCTAAAATGAATCCTAACCCTACATAACACACATAATTTGAATCCCAACTCCATATTCAGTATAAAAATTACATGGAACCACATGGAGAAATGTCAGGGTCTTAATTTAGGCTGGTAGGGTACAGAAGTGTGCCCCTCAGCCCCCACCCCCTGCTTGCTGCTTCCTAGACGAGGTAGATATGTGGGAGGTTCGGAACAGTAAGAGATAATCAGTTTTCACAGACCTTAAGCAAGGTAGGTTGAACATGCATTGGTTGCATGACTTTCTCTTACCTAATGTAGCTCTTCTACCTCGTTCTTTATTAACTAATTTCCACTGTGTAACATGTTGAATAAACCCTTTTTTAATTTTCCTTGCATGCCACTAATAGTAAGTTCTAAACTTACTATTAGTGGCATGCTAAACTAATTTTATCGCACCACTTATAAAGATGGCTTAAGTTGTCTTGTGCCGTTTTAGTGGTTTAACTGCTTTACATTTTAAAACAATTTTTTTTTGTTTATTTATATGTATGTAGTACACAATGCCATACACTAGTTGTTCTTGGTATCCAGATGAATAGTTTTGGAGTTCACATTGATTAAAATACTGCGTCTACAGTGGACCAGGTGTCCATTAGCTTGTTTTAAATGAGTATGTATGAGCATACATTGACCAGTCTCTTTAGTTTAATGATTCATGGAGCAATCTTGCCCTTTAAGAAGGTCAATATAGGAAGGCTGAGCATTCTGTAATGGCTTTTTATAGCATCATGTACTGAATACCACATTGTCTTCACTCTTCACATTGTTCAAATCAAGGTGTGGTGCATGTGTGGTTTTTATTTATTTATTTATTTTTTGCTAAATGGGTAGAAATGAGAAAAACAAACTCACAAGCCAGAAGACAAAGGTTTTCAGGAAGTTGGGTAGCCATCAACAGCTGTTTGGCAGCTCCTCCTGTTGAGAGACATTTGAAAGGGCACAACAGTTCACTCACTGCATAGTAGGTTACAGAAGTGTTTGCTAATCCTGGTCCTGGAGCACCCCCACATTACACATTTTGGATTCCTTCCACATTTATCGCCCATGATTCAACTCATCAGGTCGTTAGTTGAGTGCTCATGAACTGAATTAGGTGTGTAAAATAAGGGACACAGAAAGTACAGAGCTGGCAGTTTCCCAGGATCAGGATTGGGGAACTACGGGCTAGAATCCAAGTAATTAACTGATCTAAAATAAAAACTGCTTGTGATGCAGGATTTCTTAAAAGTTGTTACTTGGTGGTGAGTGTTACTGTGTGCCAGGCAAACAGAACAAATCTTGCTGTACATGGATATTTAGTAAACAAGCTACATGAGGCATGATTTTGTCTGTTGAGCACTAGTTATCCATAAATATTAGTTTTATTTTTTATAGTCATGTTGTGACCAAACAGTATGCTAACGTTCTTGTTGAATTAAGCAGTAGCACCATCAATGACACATTTTATGAGACCGTTTCTTCTCTTTTTGTTGCAGTAGAGATCTGACAAAGCATCATGGGAGGTGCAGTTGTAGACACTGGTGACAGTGGGGTCAAGGCCCCCGATGGAGGATGGGGTTGGGCTGTCCTCTTCGGCTGCTTCATCATTACAGGTTTCTCCTACGCCTTTCCCAAAGCGGTCAGCGTCTTCTTCAAAGAACTTATCCGAGAGTTTGGAGTGGGCTACAGTGACACTGCTTGGATCTCCTCCATACTACTTGCAATGCTTTATGGCTCAGGTACAGATGTCCACTGGCAGCAGGGATGGATGAGAATATTTTGTAGCTAAGTGGGTTTTCAAACGGCGGGTCCACAAGAGGGTTCTAGGTGGTCTGTGGAACACTGACATTTTGGAAGGACAAAATTATTCTCGTCCTATTCTTTCTGGGAAATTACGATTTTGCATGCTAATAGTAGTTTGCTTGTTGCAGGGCCTATATGCAGCATCCTAGTGAACCGGTTTGGGTGTCGCCCTGTGATGATGGTCGGGGGCCTTTTTGCCTCACTGGGCATGATTTTAGCATCCTTTTCAACCAACATCATCCACATCTATCTCAGCACAGGAGTCATAACAGGCGAGTAATGTTTTGTGATTTGCTTATGAAATTCTGATGTACTTAATTTGAATGTATTAACATCTTCAAATATGATGTACTCCAGGTTTGGGTCTTGCTCTGAACTTTCAGCCATCCCTCATCATGCTGAACAGATATTTCAGTGAGAAAAGGCCCTTGGCCAATGGGTTGGCTGCAGCTGGAAGTCCCGTGGCTCTGTGCTGTTTGTCTCCTCTTGGTCAGGTTCTTCAATACAAGTATGGTTGGCGTGGAGGCTTCCTCATCCTTGGAGGGATTCTACTGAATTGCTGTGCATGTGGGGCCCTCATGAGACCCTTGATGGCACTGAAAAAAACAAGCGAGGTGGATGAGAAGGAAACCAAACCCAAACCAAAGCCCAAGCTTCTTGACTTTACTGTCTTTAGAGATCGTGGCTTTTTGATTTACACGGTGGCTGCGGCCATCATGGTGTTGGGTCTTTTTGTGCCTCCAGTGTTTGTGGTAAGTTATGCCAAGGAACTGGGCAATGAGGACACAAAGTCTGCCTTGCTGCTCACCATACTAGGGTTCATTGATATCTTCGCCAGGCCAACATGCGGTATCATCGCTGGGCTCAAGTGGGTTCGGCCACGATGTGTTTACCTCTTCAGTTTCGCTATGATCTTCAATGGCATCACTGATCTTATCGGCTCCATGGCCAAAGACTATCCATCTCTCGTGGTGTTCTGCATCTTCTTCGGTATCTCCTATGGCATGGTTGGAGCCTTACAGTTTGAAGTGTTGATGGCCATTGTGGGGACAGAGAAGTTCTCCAGTGCCATCGGCTTGGTGCTGTTGGTCGAAGCCTTTGCTGTGTTGGTGGGACCACCTGGAGCAGGTCAGTGCTGCAGTTAATTTTCTATGTTCTGTAGTTTCTGTGCTGTTAAAGATAATTCATAAGATAAGTAGTGATCTTATAAAACATTTACATGACCTAAGTATCACCTCCCAAACTTGTAGATTACCTACCAAAGAAAACCACATTCTCTTTGCAAATGGTCAAAAACTAACAAATATATTATTGGAATGCAGGTGGCCTTTTATGTATCTTACAAGAACCTTTTGTTTTGCGTTGTAAGGGCCTTCTATTTGTATAATACCATATGGTGGTTCCTCATTTGTATTGTTTAGTCCCCCAAACACTGAACAAATGGACCGTTATAGTTGTCCCAACAATAACAGTTGCAGTTCATACGTCATTGATGTTTGCCCTGGTGACCTGTCAGGACCGCCACCACAAATGGCTGATCCATGTGGGACGTTTATCTCATAGTTCTCTTGTTTCATTTCACAGGTCGCCTTCTGGATGCCACAAAGAACTACATGTTCGTCTTCCTGCTGGCTGGGTGTGAGGTGGTCCTCTCGGCCCTTGTGCTCGCAATCTGTAACATGCTCTTCATCAAAAGGAAGCCCGAACAGCCTGACCCTCCAGCCAAGATGGAGATGGCCGTTATCGACACGGAGATGGAGGAGCTCAACAAAGCACCAAAGAACGACCAAGACAACGGAGGTGGTGAAAATGGGAAGAAGCAAGCCATCGAACACGAAGCAACGACAAAATCTGATGATAAAAAGGTTGAAGAGCTTGAAAGCATAGGGGTGGACTCTGTAGAGCTGGAGAATGCTTCCAAAAATGTGACCGAACCAAACGGTGTGGTTGTAGAACCTGAATCCTCTCTGTGAAGATACTAGAACACTAGACATGACAGAGCTTCCTTTGTAGGACTCCTGGACATGCGTTTGATGTTTGTAGTGTATGCTTTTTGTATCGCACTTCAAATGTGGTTGCAAAGGACTGCTTTCAGACCTGCTCTCCAGTTCAGATTCAGCCACTTTTAGGCCAATCACTGCCTTGTATGTTAGCAGAAATGTCAGGATGTGTTCTCAAACTTGCATTCAAAAAATAGATTCAGTTTATACTGTGGCACCAGATTTTAGGCCAGTAAACACTCCACATCAGAGCAGGTCACCAGCATTATACTGAATATAACCAGCTTGCTTGCTTTGTGGCATTCAGTGTTTGCTAATGTGGATTGTTGGTTCATAGTACCTTTTTTGTCATCTACTGTAACATTTTAAACTGGTCCTGGGAGAGCACAGGATTGTATTAAAGTCCTGCATTTCAGACAAATGGAACCAGATTAACCTGTACAACATGCAAATGAGGATTCTAGTTAGTCTTTTTAAATTGGAAACATTCTTGAGGAATTTACAGAGTTCAGACATGCTTGTTTTTGGGGAACAGTCCAACGTGTGCAATTAGATGCATACAAGACAAAAAAATAGATTACAGATGCGTGCGAAGAGAAGAGCACGAAAAATAGAAAGACAAAAGACAGTAGGATAATGGGTTAAGCAGAGGAAATAAAGATGAATCATGCTTCATAGACACAAAAATAGTGGGTTTCTATACTGCCCGAGGTATCAATGGCAGTAACCGTGATACTGGCATGAACTACACAGCCCAGTGCTTTCTAGAAAACAGGACAAGTTTAAAAAAAAAAAAAAACCTTAATGGTGGATAAGCAAAACCAACTACATTTAATTGTCTTTACCCTATGCCCAGAATAAAACAATTCATATAAAATCACATTTGCAGATGACAGCAGAACAAAGCAACTTGCCCCAATAATAATTTACAAATTTAATATTTAAAAGAAAAAGATGCAACCACAAGCAAATACAAGTACTTCATTTATTTACACTGTTTAAAATACACAAATACGGTGGTAATACAAATTCTTACAGGACTGACAAATTGGCATGACTTCCACAAAAATATGTGGATCCCAAAATAGCCATGGGCTTCAAAATGGGGGAGAATTAGATGAAAAATTTCACCCAGGAAGTCGCCAATGTCCCTTTACAGATGACAAGGATAACAAGATGACCAGACCAGCTTTCAAGGTGCATTAGAAAAGCCACATCAGTGCCGGAATATTTCGTAAAAGGGGAAAAATCACTAAACATTAGAGCAAGACTTTGATTCGTTTTCATTCTTTCAACCTTTGCAGACACGAGCAATATCTCTTAACAAATGAGCATCCGCTATTTTTCAGATGAGCTTGTATCAAACGACTGTATATTGATATATACCGCATTGCCGAAAAAATATATTGATATACCGCCTCAGTAAGATTTTTCATTTTTTTGAAAAACACTCATTTAGCAAGGACACATTAATTTGATTAAGTGACAGTATCATTGATGAAAAAAAGACAAGACTAAAATGTATTTAAAAATTAAAAACTTTACCAACATCTTTTTATTTTTGTCAAAAAAAAAATGAGAGAGAAAATACTATGGACTGCTGTCCATGTCTCTACTACTCGACTGCTTTCATGTTTGTGTATGCCAGATACTAAAAGGGTCCTATTATGCTCTTTTACAAAGTCTTGATTTTGTTTTGGGGGTGTATTTTATTTTACATTATTACAACACCTCTCTCCCCAGTCTGGCATGAACGGCTCGAATAGATCCTGTATCAAATGAAGGCCCGCCTTCTGAAACACGAAATGTGCTGTGATTGGTTAGCTGGGCCAGTGTGTGTTGTGATTGGCAGCACTCGGCGCCTGCTCGGGAAATGTCACGCCCCTTACCATAGCTGCCTGCCAGCTTCAGTGTAAATATTGCGTCAAAATCAAATCAATTTGAGTGCGATTTAAACCCGGATGATTGTAACCACTAAGTTTGTCTGCCTCGGGAAAGCTAGCGTGTCTCCGACATAGTGATAACACTCCTTGCCTTCTCTAGTGCAGCTCAACCAGGTCTCGTCCCATTCGCCGATATTTGTGATATCACAAATCCCGGAAAATATGAGTTGTAGTCCAAAAGAAAAGAAAAAAAGTGCTAAAAATCTCCTTTTCAAGTGGACTTTGAACTTTGCAGATCTTTATGCTCAAACAGCAACATTATAGACTAACTAAAGTTAAAAAACATAATAGGACCCCTTTAAGAGTTCAAATTCCCAGATCAGAGCGTATCTGATAAAAGGATACATTTTCTGCCCGGTGCTTTATTTAATTTTTGCAATTTGGCAACCACACGCGTGCGCTCGGAGTTTAGCGGTCTTTCATGCGAGATATTCTGCCTAAATTAAAGTGTTTTATAATATTTTTTGTTTGTCTTACCTGTATTCATAATGTAGACAGAGAACATTTATATCTAAGTCTTTGATATTAATTTATATAATAGATACCTGCGTATGAGTTGACATTCTATTGATTTGTGCTTATTGGTGAAAAGTGCAATACTTTTAACGAAATGTAAAACTACATTTCTCAAATGAAAACAATCATTGGGATTATAATTGAGATTTTTTTTTAATCATTATTACAGCATGATGAAAATGTGCTTTTAGTGTCATTGACTGAAACTAGACTAAAATGCTCCGACATATAGACTAAACTAAAACTTGACTAAACAAAAGCAAAGACAAGGTTGACTAAATATGACAATTAAAAAGTATATTTGACACAGGACTAAGACTAAATTAACACTACTTTGAAAAAAAAATATGCATCACAGTTCCGACTATTTTCAACATTTATAATAATAACTTTTTCTTAAGCACCAAATCAGCATATTACAAAGACTTCTGAGGGATGCGACACTGAAGACCGGAACCTTTATTTTTAAAAGTGTATGACCATTCACATAAGCTTCACCCAGTTGGTAGAAAACACAAAGCAGTGTACAGTTAACACAAGCTAATCAAACTCACCTGGTGCATCTGAACACTTCAGAGTAATGGCTGCTGAAAAATTCAGATTTTTCATCACAGTAATGTTACATTTTAAAATACATTTAAATAGAAAAATCACATGTAGATGGCCATCTTGTGTAGATGGCAATTGAGAATAATTGAAAGCCACGATTACTGCAGTTTAGGTCTGGGAGATATAACGTTATCGGTATTTATCGAAGATACACCATCATCGATAACGATTGAAAACATTTTCGATATAGCGCACGATAGTTTCACGCTTTTTTTCATTTAAAGGCTCGTGTTATGAGTGACAAGCAGACAGGCAACAGAACACACACAAACATGCTGAAATGAGTGCCGTGCCTGAATGCAATGAGGAGACTATGAAAAAAAAAAAAAAGGAATTAGTCGAATTTAAAATAAAAATTCGCATTCGAATGCAAAAACTGTGTATTTGAATTTTAGGTGTGCGTCCGGGAGCCTTATCAGAGGCGCGCGAGATGCGATGATGTAAGTGTCGTTGCATTTTAATGTTTTTGTTAGACTATCCAGTGGAACCCACAAGATGTGCCACTGCTGCATTTTTCATTCAAAATATTAGAGAATTATAGAAGGTCAATGCGGAGATGATATTGGTTAGGTTAAAACCGAAACCAAGCCATTCACACAGAACACATATTCAGAGCCTTTTTGCGATGCACAACTAGGACAGTTGCACTCGCATATCGCACAAAACATGAATAGAAAGCCACGTAAAGTTAAAAGAGGTTCAACTTTTAGAAAACGACTTAATGAGGTGCATTATTTTTCTCATTGTGCCCTCCAGTGGCCTCAGGAGACAGGCCAAATGTTTCCTTAATCTGCATATGAAATATAAAAAAAAGGAGATATTTGCTTCAATTTTATTTTGTTTGACTGTTAAAACTAAAATAAGTTGTGCGTTTTAATAAATTGGGTAAATTAAAAATACAGTGGTTAAATGTATCTCTTTTTTCTACTGCTCTTTAAGAAAGGTTGTAAAAATTTTTCAATAATTATCGATACCGAATGATATGAAACATTATATCATAGGGCGATTCATTGCTGATTTTGAACGCGATTTTGTGTAGCCTGTCAGTGAACTACGGCTCTGTAGTAAATGCCGCTCCATCTTGCTTCTCTTGATTAATTAAAGATAATTATCTGTGATATTTAGCCACTTGCTATTTATCCTGAAAGTATTTTTTTTGTGTCCATTTGACATTTGCATTCTTATATTGGTAACAAGCCTCCAACTGCTTTCATGCTTTTTGTGTAAATCAACATTTTCTGTCCAGTGTAATACTTGATGCATGCACTCTCTTTGAAGAAAAACCCCCCCACTAATGATCTAAAAACACCAGAAAACATGCATGTAGGAGTTTAGTGATCTCCACTGAGATATTCTGCTGAAATGAAAGTGTAATACAACCGGTCTGTGTTCCATTTGTGCCGTTTGCTGCAACTAAATCCATCAAACCATCTCAGTGATGAACAAAATAAAATCTAATCATTAACTTAAGTTGGAATTGTTGGAGTTAATATTAGGAATTTCACAGGTTTAGCTTTTGAGAGAAGCTTCTTGTTTTACCAGGTTTTATAGCGTAGAGAAAGTGTTAATTTATAAGTTAGGCTAGATATAATAAATCAGGAAACAAGATGAGGTAAATTATAACATGCATAGGAGTTGATGTTCACCTGCTTATGTGAAAGTTCAATAATATTACTTAAATGTAAAAACAATAACCGTGATTACAAATTCAGCAAAATAATCATTACGATCAGTTTTACCATTATCGTGCAGCTAGATTTCTATGCCAAGAAATCTGGGTCTCTCACACACACACATGTATATACACACATACAAATATACATGTAACAGTCAAATTTACAAGCTAACTGGAAAGAATGTGTGTTTTTACCAATGCCAAGATGTGTGTTAATAGATGCGTAACGTGCAGTGCCCGTCAGGTTCTTATTCTCGCGATAGGGTATGTGCTGGTGTGTTCGTGCATCACGGTACTTCTTGGCCAGGCCAAAGTCAATGATGTAGACCAGGTTGCCTTTCTTTCCCAAGCCCATCAGAAAGTTATCAGGCTTCACGTCTCTGTGAATGAAGTTCTTGGAGTGGATGTACTCGATGCGGCTAATCTAATGAATGCAAGGTTTACAAAAAACATTTTAAAATAAGTTATTTCTGCAGAAAACTACTTTTTTTTTATTGCCAACATGATTTTGTATCATACCATCTGATCAGCCAAAAGCAGGACAGTCTTCAGGCTGAACTTCCTGGAGCAGAAATTGAAGAGATCCTCCAAACTGGGGCCGAGCAACTCCATCACCATCACATTATAATCTCCTTCTGCACCACACCACTTTATAGTAGGAATGCCAACTGCAAAAGCAGCACACAAAACACCTAAATACACAGCCTGAAACCCAATAGATGCTTGTTGGCAAGTATGAATCATTTCATTGATTACATTGATTTATTGAGCCCCTCAACCCCTTATTTACATATCAATCAAAACCCCTTTCTTATTACCTCCACCCTGCATCATCTTGTAAATCTTGCTCTCGATGTGGAGCTGTGGGTGCTTTGTCTTCACACATTCCAGTTTGATGGCCACTTCCTCTCCAACTGAAATGTCTGTGCCTGAGGCGGAGCGAGAAACAGAGAAGGAACAGAGCCATTAAAACCATGAATGGGGTCAGAACACAGCCTGAATCTCCAACAAGCTGACATGACTGTAGATCATAATTCATTTACCTTTACAGTTTGTGCATACAATACTGTTCAAAAGTTTGATCGGTTTAATCTCAATCTCTGACCGCGGGTAAAATAAATAATAATGCTGAAGGTGAGGTACAATTCATACTTCATTATTAAATATAAAGTAATTTGAAAACTTTCTTTGAGATGTAATTTCACAAACAGCGTGAGTGAATCACTGCATGCTCTCTCACTGCATACCTCTCAAAATGCGCAAATGGCTTCAAATCACCACATCTCGTCTGCACTATAAGCGAGCTGCATATTGCACAGTTGACACAGGAATTGTCACTTGCACAATCGAGGAAGCATTGCATTGTCACTAAAGTTTATAATTTGCCTTTAAGTATTGCCAGTGTTTAAACCATTCAGCACTCGCGCGCTCTCCTAGAGACGGTGCACTCATGCTCACTCAAAGCGCACCCACATACCGCCTCGCATACAGCTAAAAAAAATCAGGCTTGCGCTGCGTGTAAACTATTGTGCAGCAATTTCCCCATTGTAAAAAACAAAAATGCACTGCATGATCAAACATTTAGCTGAGATTATTATATATTTTTGAAAAATGTCAACAAAAAAAAATGCCCTAAATTTCAGTGTATGTCATCGCTTTGTCATGTTTTCATCTAAATAATAAACCTGTCATGCAGCACTTAGTTTGCCAGAAAAATTGAAAAGAATTCTTCAAATTTCATTTGATTACAATTTAAAAGATGATTTTGAAATTGTTCAAGTTTTATGCATTCATTTGATTACCACCGTTTTGATAATAAATTTGCATTAAATCATAAAACACGGAAACCAGAAAAATCATGAACAGTTGATTATAGGGATGTAACGATTAACTGCGAGCCGGTTGAAAATCAATACAAAAATGTGACGATTCAAATCGGTTGAGATGCTAAACAAATCGCGATTCAATTAGGGATAAGAGTTTATATGAATGTATGTCTGAGGGGAACTTACGGTCTTTAGAAAAGTTTAGATGATATTTTTTATTTTCATCTTGCCTCTGTATAATGCATAATAAAAGTTCATGCTGCTTTGTTTACAGCGGAAACCAAGGAAAAGCTTTAAGCGCCACCTGCTGGCAGAGAGTGAATCTGCATCTCATTCAACTTGTCTGTTGTTTCTGTTTCATGCAGATATTTTTTTTTATGTATGGTTTCACAAAACTGAAGTCAAACCATTCTGTTTTTGCTTCAAATTTCGAAATTTTACAATCTAATTTAGATTAAAACCTACTCATGTTGCATTTATGCAGCGGCTTTGGGGGGAAACACTGCAGCATAAACATTTTTTTTTTTTTAGTTTTTTTTTTTTTGACTCCTTTTTTATGGTTAAATTACATTTTATTAATCAAAACGCATGTGTATAATGCATAATAAAAGTTCATGCTGCTTTGTTTACAGCGGAAACCAAGGAAAAGCTTTAAGCGCCACCTGCTGGCAGAGAGTGAATCTGCATCTCATTCAACTTGTCTGTTGTTTCTGTTTCATGCAGATTTTTTATGTATGGTTTCACAAAACTGAAGTCAAACCATTCTGTTTTTGCTTCAAATTTCGAAATTTTACAATCTAATTTAGATTAAAAACTACTCATGTTGCATTTATGCAGCGGCTTTGGGGGGAAACACTGCAGCATAAACATTTTTTTTTTTTTAAGTTTTTTTTTTTCTGGACTCCTTTTTAATGGTTAAATTACATTTTATTAATCAAAACGCATGTCTACTTAAATAATCAATTTATTAAAAGTTTAACAAATATTATATATGTTTAGGGCCCTATGAAATGTTTTTTTTTTCCAACCTTATGTTTTATTGTAACCAAATTCTGTTTTAGCATGTCTAAGTAATTATTTGAAAGCATAAAACAAGTTTAATTTATTCTTACAATAGCCTTATGCTTTTTTTGCTCAGAAATTTTGTGTTGTGTATTTACATTTTGTTTTAAGGCATAAAACATAAATTTAATCTATCTTTTAAGTAATGAAAATAAAACAAATTGAATTTTTTGGAAAATAAAGGTCATTTAATATTACAATTAAAACATGCGAAGAAATATTGAATGCTTATTCCTTAAAAATAAGATTTTAATAATTTTAGTAGTAGTAGTAGCAGTCTGCCCTCAAGTTACACCGAACTTTTATTTTAACGGGTTGCCGTGAATACCTTTACATTTCTGTGCGTGTATGACATGATGATAGTTTTCCTCAAATGAAACGGTCAAATGCTCATGAAGTGACTCTCAGAGCAGTTCTGGAGATGTTATTCATGTGTTTATGTCCTCATTAGTGAGACTGCAGACGTTAATATCACCGGAAGCGTCACGAGCGTTACAGTATGAGTACTACACAAAACCACGCGTCTGCGCAATTCATTAACACAGAGACACGCAGAATTCATATTTAAATATGAATCGTTTTGCGGCTTAATATTTACAAATACTAGTGGGAGTGTGCTCACTTGTGTGTGTGTGTGTGTGCGCCCCCGCTGTGCGTGATGCAGAGAGCGCGACCATAAAGTAGAGACCAAAATGACATGCCTTTGTGTAAATAAGATAAATAACATAAGGCTATTTAGTTTGCTTAATAAAAGAACAAGGTATATACCTGTTCTATAAGAAAGGTAAGTTTAAATGACTTCTGTTGTGATCTGCAGCATCTTTGTTTGGATCATGATTAAAATGCAGTGGTTGCCTCTCATTTTTTAAATGGAAAGAGCACAGACAAAGCCTTATTTTGTTTATATGAAGAGATCTTTTATTTGTGTTACTTATTTGATTTGGTGCTTGTTTTAAAATTTCAGTTTAGTTTTATTTACATTTACATTAGGGCTGCACGATAAATCGCATGCGATATTTAAAGCGCATCTTATCAGTAAAGCCGGTTCTGTAATCAGCGGTAAATCTCCATCACGTGCGTGCTTTCACATTAGGGCCTTTCACACCGCAGGAACCTTTTCATAGTACCAGAACTAATTGTGGAACTACCCACTTTTTGGCGTTTTCGCACCGCCGGAACTGGGAGCGATTTTAGTACCGGACTGCCTTTTTCGAGAACCAAATTAGCTCCTACTCCGGAGCAGGGTCTAACCAGCACAACTGGTACTAATCGTGACGCAAGTAGACATTGATTGGCCAAACGCGTATGAAAACGTCCTCACCCACCATGATTTAAAACACCGTGCAAACATACTGTAAACATTGTGTCAACTTATTTTGCAAGTATGGAGAACAGCGATAGATGGACGGATGCTGAAGTGCAGGCACTTGTAGCAAATGTAGCACTGCCAGTTGTCGTTGGAGATTCTTAATCCTCCTCTCCGTTCTTTCAATCGCTTTACGTATACGTCGACTTTCCATGTCCCTTATTGTGAAACCCGCGAGACACAACAAAAACACCGCTCCGATCACAGCGTCCTCCATCCTCCAGTTAATGTTGTTCTTCTGTTTTTGTTGTTGAATAGCGCACAAATAACGACGCTGTCGACCGGCTTTCCTCACTTTTTAGTACACACTCTTGGTGC